AGAGAATCATGCCGAAGCCACTATGGGTGAAGCACGAAGCCACTTAAATAGGCTTCGGATCTGCTACACTAATGCACGAAGCTTACTTAATAAGCGATCGGAACTAGGTGTACAGATTGACTCTACAAAGCCAGACATAATCGCAGTTACAGAAACCTGGCTGACACAGGCTATAGATAGTATGGGACTTGATTTCGAGGGTTTTACGTTAGTAAGGGCCGACAGAATACAAAAGCGTAAAGGAGGGGGAGTAGCTCTATTCATTAGGGATGCTATCCCATTTGCCATTATCGACAGTGTATCCCATGAGAGTGGGACGTGTGAACTAGTTAGTCTCCGCTTGAAATGCAAGGGACAAGAGCTGCTGATTGGTTTGGTCTGTCGCAGTCCAAGCTGTGAGGTAAACGAGGTCCTGCTAAGCAGTCTCAATATTTGGTCACAAAGTGGTCGATGTCTGATCTTAGAGGACTTTAATGCAGCTATGGTAGACTGGGAAAATCTGCGAACCGAGTCGTCAGAAAATTCCTTCGAGCAGGAACTAGTTGATGCGGTTATCACATGTGCCCTAGTGTAACATGTGAAAGTAGCAACTAGGTACGACCCGGACACTGAATCATCCTTATTAGATCTTATATTGACTCACTATGAGGATGACGTTGCGAACCTCCATTACATGCCACCCCTAGGTAAGGGTGATCACGCAGTTTTAACTTTCGACTTCCATATATCTGTCAATCACGAGCACGCGTCAGCCCAATCCAGACCTAACGTCTGGAAAGCAAACATACCAGATATCATGCACTCAGCGTCGTTAGTAGATTGGACTATAGACCCACAGTACTCAAATGAAACGGCTTTGGACGCATTTCAGAAATTACACTTAAAAGTTACCACACCCCACATTCCTTCGGACTACACCAAGGTGACCGAGAATTTCTCCACCATGGTTCAGTATGGAAGTCCTCACCCTTCTCCATAAAAGAAGAAAAATGTGGGATAGATTTAGGTTACAGGAGACTGATGAGTCAAAATCTCATTATCGAAAAGCTCAGAATATCTGTGCCTCGACCCCCCGTAAGTCTAGAAAGTTGTACGAAGAAAAAGTTGCTAAGGATTCCATAGAATGTCCTAAACGCTTGTGTTTCTATATAAACCAAAGGACAAAAAGAAAAAGAATTATTCCTGCACTATGGGGAGATAGTACTGCCGCATCATTAGTGGAGGACAACTTTGGTAAGGCTCAAGTGTTCTCAAACTACTTTAGCAAGATATATACCATAGAAGCACTCTTCCTGTCAGTCCATACAAATCCCCCACATAAACACTGGACAGAGTGACCACTAAAAAACTCGATGTTTTTGGTCTGCTAAATAAGCTTGACATGGGTAAATACACGGGGCCTGATAAATTTCATCCTAGGCTACTGAAGGAATTATCTAATTTCGTTGCGAACCCTTTAAGCATATGATTTAATCTATCCGTAACGCCATAGTAAGTCCTGTCTTAAAATCAGGTACGAACCTGAGAATTACCTACTCGTTAGCCTAACTAGTGTGGTTGTTAAAATCTCAGAAAAAATTATTCGGAAGGAGCTGTTTGAGTACCTTGATGAAAAACGGATCCTTTCGGAGAAACAGCATGGCTTCAGAATAGGTTATTCTTGTCTCACTAACTTATTAGTGGCTCGTGAAAGCTAGTGAGCTCTTAAGCACCACAAGTTACCTGTAGACGTAGCCTTCATTGATTTCAGCAAAGGTTTTGACAAAGTTCCAGGAAACCGGCAGTTATATAACCTAAGAAATGCCGGAATTGGAGGCCATCCATTGGTGTGGATTAAAGACTTCCTAGTTGGGCGCCAACAGAGTACGGGTGAATTCAAAGTTATCTAGCTGGGAAACTGTACTTCGTGGAGTGCTCCGAAGCACAGTTTAGAGGCCAGTGCTATTCCTCTGGTATGTAAATAACCTTCCTCGTCTCCTACCCAAGCTGCCAGCTTTGGGGAAATTTTGATGAATTTTGGGAAAATTCCCAAAGTGAAATAGTTTTCCCCAAAGTTTGGGGAAATTCTGGGCAAAGACCCAAAAATGTTCGTAGCGCAGTTTCCATCTATAACATTTCATCGACATAAAATAAATAAGCCTCAAAGTAGTAAATTTGAATGAATAATTTCACATTTTATTACAATACCGACTTTTGGTGAAGGATAGTCTATCGAATTTCCGGTCTTGTTTTAATACATCAATAAGCAGACACGAGAAAAGGTGTTGTCTGTTGCAAGCCACTTTTTCAAAATTCGAACGCTATGCGGATGAGTTATTAGCAGTGTAGGTCGGGAACTCTGCGTGCTGTCTATGTTCAGTCTTACATAAGTCAATTATTTCTTTCAGAATAATAATAGACAGGTCGATAAGATTGCGAAAAGGCGGGCTCTATTTAAAAGGACAGTGGTATTGTTTCTCGTCGAGATAATTAACTGCTTTGATCGCAACCCCAGCTGCCAGCTTTGGGGAAATTTTGGGGAAACCCCCAAAGTAAAAAAACGTCCCCAAAGTTTGGTAAAATTTTGGTGGAAATCACGAAAATAATCGTAGTGCAATTTTGCACACTAACATTTCATCTACATAAGAAAAATAAGCCTCAAAGTAGTAAATTTGAATAAATAATTTCACATTTTAATATAATACCGACTTTTGGTGAGGGATAGTCTATCGAATTTCAGGTCTTGTTTTAATACATGAACAAACAGATAGTGGACAAATAGTTGTCGGTTGTAAAGCTCTTTCTCAAAATTTGAAAGCTATGCAGGTGAGTTGTTAGCAGTGAAGGTCGGAAAATTTGGTTGCTGTCTATGTTCAGTCTTACTTAAGTCAAATATTTCTTTCAGAATAGTAATGAACAGGTCTATAAGATTGCGAAAAGGCGGGCGGCAGACGCGAAATACCCGAGGTTGTTTGGCTGCTCCGGAGCAACCTATTACAGAAGGATGAGTAAATTACAGAACAGTGGGCTAATATTGTCACAGATACAGCTACTGCTTCATGTAGTTACGTCCAGTGTTCGGACAACACAACCAGCGGTAGTATCTCTTTAATTATTAAAAATTTATAGGTTGTGTGATGTCAGCCGTTCATCTTTCAATGAAAGAACAGTTGGACAGAATAGTCATTGAAATGATGAAAGGTGGTTACATAAGCATAAAGAAGGTTGACCAAATATTGGACCTTTTTCGTGCGCGGTATCCAGAACTTCCTACGTACGTCCGGAGTGTTCTACGTCGATGCAACGACGTGGAGCCTAAGATCCTCGATTCTGGAACGTATTACCACTCGGGATTGAAATCAAGTCTTTTGAGAATTTCAGAACATTGGCTACGGCGAATCCGTTTCAACGAACTTCAGTTGCACTTCAACTACGATGATCTCAGTTTGTTCAAAAGCTCTAACCAACAGCTGTGGCCGGTCCTAGGTCGCATAGTAGCTCCACTAGTTAGTAGTGTTTTCGTAGTTGGGATCTACGGTGGTGAAGCAAAACCATCTGATTTCAACGACATGTCAGCAACACTTATAACAGAGTTACAGGAGTTGTTGACGGAGGTATTAATGTAGATAAGTACCAGCTACATTTAACAGTTAAATTAGTTGCTGTTATTTGTGACGCTCCAGCTCGCTGCAACGTGAAGTACATTGTGGGACACAATGGTATCGCTGGCTGTGACGAATGTCAGGTTTTAGGGACGCGAATGGGTGGTCGAATGACTTTCCCAAATGGTGAACACGACTTAAGAAATGATGTCACTTTTCGTAGTAGGTCGCAATCTATCCATCATCGTGGTACAAGTTCATTTGAAAATCTGCCAGTGGATATGATTAAATGTTCCCCTGTGAACCTATGCATATGATATACTTAGGTGTTACTAAAAAACTTATTTCATTAAGGAAGGAGCTAGCTATTAAGCGACTTAATAGGATGGATCAATCAATTATAGCATCAATAAATGATGCACTAGACATATGTAGACAACACACTACATGCGACTTTCAACGGAAATGTCGTTCACTTTATGGAGTTTCTGTATGGAAAGCAACTGAATGTCGGTTGTTCTTATTATACTTAGGACCTGTAGTTCTTCATAATAGGTTACCACTATCAATGTACAGAAACTTCCAGTCACTCTCTTTGTCTATGTATTTATTATCGCACCCTAAGTTTCATAGCACATTCGCTAACAGTGTTCGGGTTTACAATAATAACTTCTTATTAGCTTACGAAAGGTGTTACAGTACCGAACACTAAATCTACAATGTGCATAATTTAAAGCACATTGCAGACGACGTTATGGAACATGGTACTTTAGAATCGTTCTCAGCATTTCCTTTTGAGTCTTACATGAGAAAAATTAGGCGTTCAGTACACTGTGGATTTGCTGCGGCTAAACAAGCCGCACAGCGATATGCCGAAGAAGTTTACTTTCAAAGTATACTGAATCAGGATGAGGCTGACAACGTCACTGGGCCTTTAAACTGTAATCCACAGTAACAGACATACTTTGTAAATGCGTTATTTAAAGGACACAAAATTATGAGGATATTATACCTTTTTTACATACATTGCAATAAGCAAAGTCACATCACTTGTCAAAACTTGTCGCAAATATAGCACGTTAGCCAGTAAGTGCCTGTTGCTTAGTGATTTTGCGTCGTCCATTCATTTACAGCATCAAAGTGGTAAGTACATTTTGGTTGACGATAAGGAGAAGCAGCAAGTGCTCTGCATTCCGAACAAATGGCTCCTGACCAACGATCATTACCTTTATCGTGATGATAACAGTGAGTACGAAATTGTTGAGGGTATTGATGTTGAGAAAATGCGCCGTTATGCATCGTTGTGGTAAGTTGCAATCAATTAACATTTATTGTTTTCAGACGACTACAATGTAGCTCAGGAATTAAAAGTGTGTTTAGCAACAGTACTGGGCTACAATACTAACATCACGACTAACGATGAAACACAGTCTTGCCACGCTGAAAAGCCGAAAAGGTAAATTGTTCAACTTATTATATCACTTGTGTTAGGAATGTCAAACGAAAAAATACCGACTATTTATGCACCTCAGAAGAACTAGAGGTTGCTTGGAAGAATCATCAGTTACCTCAGGCCCAGTGACGTTGTCAGCCTCATCCTGATTCAGTATACTTTGAAAGTAAACTTCTTCGGCATATCGCTGTGCGGCTTGTTTAGCCGCAGCAAATCCACAGTGTACTGAACGCCTAATTTTTCTCATGTAAGACTCAAAAGGAAATGCTGAGAACGATTCTAAAGTACCATGTTCCATAACGTCGTCTGCAATGTGCTTTAAATTATGCACATTGTAGATTTAGTGTTCGGTACTGTAACACCTTTCGTAAGCTAATAAGAAGTTATTATTGTAAACCCGAACACTGTTAGCGAATGTGCTATGAAACTTAGGGTGCGATAATAAATACATAGACAAAGAGAGTGACTGGAAGTTTCTGTACATTGATAGTGGTAACCTATTATGAAGAACTACAGGTCCTAAGTATAATAAGAACAACCGACATTTAGTTGCTTTCCATACAGAAACTCCATAAAGTGAACGACATTTCCGTTGAAAATCGCATGTAGTGTGTTGTCTACATATGTCTAGTGCATCATTTATTGATGCTATAATTGATTGATCCATCCTATTAAGTCGCTTAATAGCTAGCTCCTTCCTTAATGAAATAAGTTTTTTAGTAACACCTAAGTATATCATATGCATAGGTTCACAGGGGAACATTTAATCATATCCACTGGCAGATTTTCAAATGAACTTGTACCACGATGATGGATAGATTGCGACCTACTACGAAAAGTGACATCATTTCTTAAGTCGTGTTCACCATTTGGGAAAGTCATTCGACCACCCATTCGCGTCCCTAAAACCTGACATTCGTCACAGCCAGCGATACCATTGTGTCCCACAATGTACTTCACGTTGCAGCGAGCTGGAGCGTCACAAATAACAGCAACTAATTTAACTGTTAAATGTAGCTGGTACTTATCTACATTAATACCTCCGTCAACAACTCCTGTAACTCTGTTATAAGTGTTGCTGACATGTCGTTGAAATCAGATGGTTTTGCTTCACCACCGTAGATCCCAACTACGAAAACACTACTAACTAGTGGAGCTACTATGCGACCTAGGACCGGCCACAGCTGTTGGTTAGAGCTTTTGAACAAACTGAGATCATCGTAGTTGAAGTGCAACTGAAGTTCGTTGAAACGGATTCGCCGTAGCCAATGTTCTGAAATTCTCAAAAGACTTGATTTCAATCCCGAGTGGTAATACGTTCCAGAATCGAGGATCTTAGGCTCCACGTCGTTGCATCGACGTAGAACACTCCGGACGTACGTAGGAAGTTCTGGATACCGCGCACGAAAAAGGTCCAATATTTGGTCAACCTTCTTTATGCTTATGTAACCACCTTTCATCATTTCAATGACTATTCTGTCCAACTGTTCTTTCATTGAAAGATGAACGGCTGACATCACACAACCTATAAATTTTTAATAATTAAAGAGATACTACCGCTGGTTGTGTTGTGGTAACCCCTTTTTTATATTTTTTGAATCCTATCTCAACCTTCTATTTCTTTCATTTTTGGAAATTTTGTCTTAGTTCTGGTTATTCTTGGAGGAAAAAGAAATTATTGTTTTGATTCGGCTTTTGAAAATCCTAGTGTTGGTTTACGCATATGCCAAACTTCATGTGAAAGTCAAGAGTTCACCTATGAAATGGTAAGTTTTGTTGAGTGTTGAACTCAGTCATGATGAAGCAAAGAACATTCCATGAATAGTCAGTACACATACAAAGTCATTCATTGTAGCTGAGTTAGCCATCAGTAATAGTTACCGTGGTTCGGCTTTCTCTTTACAATTAACGAAGATTACAATAGCCGTTGATTTATTGGTAAATAAGTTTCAAACTTAATTATTCAGTATACATCTAACATTTAATATTGACTTCTTTAGTTTTCATAAACTTAACTTGTTAATGATACAAACATCGAATATTGGTAGTTCACCATTTAGGCAAGACAGTTCATCATGTTTTACTGGTCACACACTTGTCTATCTCTATGTTCAGTGGTATAGGAGTAGGTTGGAAGTAAGCTAGGGGAGGCCAGACCAAAACATGGCACAAGTCCATGAAGTCACTGACAAGTGGACTGAGCCATGTTGGTAGTTGTAGACTACCTGGTTGGGGACCGCGAGATGATAGCAACCGATGGTTAGAGACCCTGAATGACATTGCTCAAAATCGTTTGCAATGGCGCAGGTGCATCCACTCTGTGTTCTCCCAAATTCTAGTCTTCTGAATTCTTCATGTCCCTTTTTTCTCTTTCCAAATTTATTTCACTGGATTATACTCTTTAAATAACATCTCCAAACCCTAATCTTCCCGATTACTGCTTATACTCTCATTACCTCTACCATTACGGTATTTGAATCGACAACTGCATCTCTGTGCTAATGTGGTGTGGCAACTTGAACTGATGTACGTACGTACGAAGTTCTACGTTGTTACTGACTGACTATCTCTATATCCTATCAGCGACACTATTCGATACTGGCTAATGTTATTTTTCTCCCTTAATAATGATCTACTAAGTTTAACATTGTTATCACATTACAATGTTTTGTTGATATTATCGTCACTATAGTCACATTAATTCGTATGAAACCAAATATATGATTTTCAAATGTTAGGAATTGCGATCGGTATAAAAATAAGACAACCACTCCTTATATGAATTCCAGTATACAATCATTGATATTTTACTCTATCGAATGTGGCGATCTAGTCTTAAAATAATAAGGATGAAGCGTTTTCTCATGGCAAAGTCTTTGTCTGGAATCTCACAAAAAACAGCCTAGAGGATACTAAGGTCAATTCATTGGAAGGCTTTCTAACATACACCATAAATCTAGGCATTCAAGTGTAGCCACTGTACTGTCAGATGGATAGGTATGTTATACTATAAAACACTTAACCAGATTTTATTAAAAATTGTACCGAAAATTTACGATAACCTAATGACGGTTGTCAACTATAAAATAATTTTCTTTGTCAGAGCAACTGGAGAAACAGCACTTCCATTTGTTACGTCAGGTGGCATTTATCAATGCTTCTCAATTTCATTTATTAATACTAATTTTATTACTTCGGTTTTCAGACTTCTTTTATCTAAATTGAATTGGCTTATGAATTTAAAGGATATTTTTAATTGTTATCCTGTTTAACAAGGATGGTGACTAAAGCCACTTTTCTGAGCGCCTGGATTGATAATATAATAATTATTGCAGTGTTTTTCTCATCCCTTAAATTTGGGAAACAACTTCAATAATGTCAATTGGAGTAGTTTGGTTTTTGTCCACTTCACTTATAATTGTTTCCTTGTCAAAATGTTCAGTTATCTAGTGAAATTCTTACAAAACATTCCTATGCTTCTGAGATGGTCAAGATTTGTAGCTCAGGTGGATGATTTTGATGGAGTTTTGTTCTCAGATGTCAAACTTCTGGAGTTTGTGCTGATAATGTCGTTCAGAAGAACGATGAAAGCTCCACGACTAAACCAGCCCAGAGAACAAAGCCCCATCAAAATTCGTATGCTTTTTGTGCGTTAGACAAATGATTAATGCGTTAACATTTAAACACTGATATCTTCGGAGTACTGATCAAAATTACTGGAACGACAGCGTGAATAGCGCGAAGGTCAAACCTACGATGCCTTGTAAAATGGGAAATATCCTGATGAGCTTATCAAAAATTATAGCTTGATTTGGTTGGGTGGGATATGACTCGACTACTGGAATACCATATAAATCGTTGTTGTTTATCATATATATAAATACTTGTACTGAGTGTCTATACATTTACCGTTCTTTAATTACGTTTCTTGACAGGATAACACTATCCATCATCTAGGTCCGTGTTTGGAAATCAATCTAAAAAAAATCAACATTGAAACTTGCTGAATGTTTTGGATCTGTAAATCAACAATGGGAATTTAATCGGAGGCCATATCTACCATCTGTGAATAGTTATTAATAGGTTGGATGGATTGAGCATACTTTATCACAGTCCCTGTTTCCTCATTTCACGTTCAACTTATCAGATATACATATGTATATTAAAAATGTCTTTCTTTAAATCTTGTCCACCGAATAAATGGAAACTGGTTCCACTACTGCAGATTTCCTAAATTTCCTTTTCCGAAATAAACAATATTTTTCTAAGCATTCGAATTTTTGTAACTCCTGAAGAATTAGTGAAATATCATTCTCCTTTTGACGATTTTGTTCACTTGTAATGGAAATTTTTGTGAACATGAGCTTGAAAAATCGTAGTCTTTGGAAGAATGAAAATACAGATATTATATTTTTGTATTCATCTTGCCTTTTTCTCCTAGTTAATGGTCTATCATTGTGAAATTCATCAGGGAACTATGTTGGTAATTAGATTTATGGGTCTGGAACAATTTTTCTTTATAAGATGGTAGTTGTTAGTAGTCGACAGGTAAATCCTAAACCAACGTTCCGTGCTGTTTGACACTGGTTAGCAAGGTGTACTTGTAATCCTGAGGAAACTGATACTTTCTTGAGGATTCGATCCCGTATTACCCAGTTTCACATTCAAAAACGCTATCCGGGACCCAACTGACTTTTTGTAGGACTGAAGCGTATTTACAATCGATTGATCACTGAGTAGTGCTCAATATCATGCATATCAGGTAGTTTCAGCGTAGTTTATCGCTTTCATTTTATTTATCTGTAGAGATTCCAATGAAAAATCAGATGAAATTATCATTTAAATACATTTAACTTAATTGCTTTTATTCCTTACTATAAAATTAAACGGAAACATACATATCTATCAAGTTTGAACTTGAATCTCTTTAAATCCATAGTAACTTGGTCATTATTATTTTGCAATGTTTTACTAACTCTATGGAAAACAAATCACTATGCAATAGTGTGAAGATTCGCTTGATACTTGTATTTTTTTTATTCAAGAGGACTAATTTATAAATCGTATTTCTATGATTCTAATTAAACACAATATAACTTACTATCTGATACTGATACATTCATGATAAGTTTACTAGTTAATTGTTTTTTTGTTGTTGGAAAAACACCCGAACTAGTGATAGGGAGTGAAGTAGTTGAGTGTGTCGACCGCTTCCCTTATCTTGGAAGTCTCATTAACCCTTGTGGTGTGGTGTGTGACGAAATCTCAGCACGGATACAGAAGGCTCGACTAGCTTTTGCCAACTTGCGTCATTTATGGCGTAGGCGAGATATCCGTCTATCAACCAAAGGACGTGTTTACTGCACAGCAGTTCGTTCCGTCCTACTTTATGGCAGTGAAACATGGCCGGTAAGAGTAGAGGATATCCGTAGGCTACTAGTATTTGATCATAGGTGTCTTCGAAACATTGCTCGTATATCATGGGACCATCGAGTAAGTAACACAGTTGTTAGGAAACGGGTACTAGGTAAGGATGGCAAATCAATTGATGAAGTAGTGAAACTTCATCAGTTGAGATGGTTGGGACACGTGTTACGTATGCCCAACGACCGACTGCCTCGACGTGCTATGTTCAGTGGTATAGGAGTAGGTTGGAAGAAAGCTAGGGGCGGCCAGACCAAAACATGGCACAAGTCCATGAAGTCACTGACAAGTGGACTGAGCCATGTTGGTAGGTGTAGACTACCTGGTTGGGGACCGCGAGATGATAGCAACCGATGGTTAGAGACCCTGCATGACATGGCTCAAAATCGTTTGCAATGGCGCAAATGCATCCACCCTCTGTGTTCTCCCAAATTCTAATCTTCTGAATTCTTCATGTCCCTTTTTTCTCTTTCCAAATTTATTTCACTGGATTATACTCTTTAAATAACATCTCCAAACCCTAATCTTCCCGATTACTGCTTATACTCTCATTACCTCTACCACTACGGGATTTGAATCGACAACTGCATCTCTGTGCTAATGTGGTGTGGCAACTCGAACTGATGTACGTACGTACGAAGTTCTACGTTGTTACTGACTGACTATCTCTATATCCTATCAGCGACACTATTCGATACTGGCTAATGTTATTTTTCTCCCTTAATAATGATCTACTAAGTTTAACATTGTTATCACATTACAATGTTTTGTTGATATTATCGTCACTATAGTCACATTAATTCGTATGAAACCAAATATATGATTTTCAAATGTTAGGAATAGCGATCGGTATAAAAATAAGACAGCCACTCCTTATATGAATTCCAGTATACAATCATTGATATTTTACTCTATCGAATGTGGCGATCTAGTCTTAAAATAATAAGGATGAAGCGTTTTCTCATAGCAAAGTCTTTGTCTGGAATCTCACAAAAACAGCCCAGAGGATACTAAGGTCAATTCATTGGAAGGCTTTCTAACATACACCATTAATCTAGGCATTCAAGTGTAGCCACTGTACTGTCAGATGGATAGGTATGTTATACTATAAAACACTTAACCAGATTTTATTAAAAATTGTACCGAAAATTTACGATAACCTAATGACGGTTGTCAACTATAAAATAATTTTCTTTGCCAGAGCAACTGGAGAAACAGCACTTCCATTTGTTACGTCAGGTGGCATTTGTCAATGCTTCTCAATTTCATTTATTAATACTTATTTTATTACTTCGGTTTTCAGACTTCTTTTATCTAAATTGAATTGGTTTATGAATTTAAAGGATATTTTTAATTGTTATCCTGTTTAACAAGGATGGTGACTAAAGCCACTTTTCTGAGCGCCTGGATTGATAATATAATAATTATTGCAGTGTTTTTCTCATCCCTTAAATTTGGGAAACAACTTCAATAATGTCAATTGGAGTAGTTTGGTTTTTGTCCACTTCACTTATAATTGTTTCCTTGTCAAAATGTTCAGTTGTCTAGTGAAATTCTTACAAAACATTCCTATGCTTCTGAGATGGTCAAGATTTGTAGCTCAGGTGGATGATTTTGATGGAGTTTTGTTCTCAGATGTCAAACTTCTGAAGTTTGTGCTGATAATGTCGTTCAGAAGAACGATGAAAGCTCCACGACTAAACCAGCCCAGAGAACAAAGCTCCATCAAAATTCGTATGCTTTTTGTGCGTTAGACAAATGATTAATGCGTTAACATTTAAACACTGATATCTTCGGAGTACTGATCAAAATTACTGGAACGACAGCGTGAATAGCGCAAAGGTCAAACCTACGATGCCTTGTAAAATGGGAAATATCCTGATGAGCTTATCAAAAATTATAGCTTGATTTGGTTGGGTGGGATATGACTCGACTACTGGAATACCATATAAATCGTTGTTGTTTATCGTATATATAAATACTTGTACTGAGTGTCTATACATTTACCGTTCTTTAATTACGTTTCTTGACAGGATAACACTATCCATCATCTAGGTCCGTGTTTGGAAATCAATCTAAAAAAAATCAACATTGAAACTTGCTGAATGTTTTGGATCTGTAAATCAACAATGGGAATTTAATCGGAGGCCATATCTACCATCTGTGAATAGCCATTAATAGGTTGGATGGATTGAGCATACTTTATCACAGTCCCTGTTTCCTCATTTCACGTTCAACTTATCAGATATACATATGTATATTAAAAATGTCTTTCTTTAAATCTTGTCCACCGAATAAATGTAAATTGGTTCCACTACTGCAGATTTCCTAAATTTCCTTTTCCGAAATAAACAATATTTTTCTAAGCATTCGAATTTTTGTAACTCCTGAAGAATTAGTGAAATATCATTCTCCTTTTGACGATTTTGTTCACTTGTAATGGAAATTTTTGTGAACATGAGCTTGAAAAATCGTAGTCTTTGGAAGAATGAAAATACAGATATTATATTTTTGTATTCATCTTGCCTTTTTCTCCTAGTTAATGGTCTATCATTGTGAAATTCATCAGGGAACTATGTTGGTAATTAGATTTATGGGTCTGGAACAATTTTTCTTTATAAGATGGTAGTTGTTAGTAGTCGACAGGTAAATCCTAAACCAACGTTCCGTGCTGTTTGACACTGGTTAGCAAGGTGTACTTGTAATCCTGAGGAAACTGATACTTTCTTGAGGATTCGATCCCGTATTACCCAGTTTCACATTCAAAAACGCTATCCGGGACCCAACTGACTTTTTGTATGACTGAAGCGTATTTACAATCGATTGATCACTGAGTAGTGCTCAATATCATGCATATCAGGTAGTTTCAGCGTAGTTTATCGCTTTCATTTTATTTATCTGTAGAGATTCCAATGAAAAATCAGATGAAATTATCATTTAAATACATTTAACTTAATTGCTTTTATTCCTTACTATAAAATTAAACGGAAACATACATATCTATCAAGTTTGAACTTGAATCTCTTTAAATCCATAGTAACTTGGTCATTATTATTTTGCAATGTTTTACTAACTCTATGGAAAACAAATCACTATGCAATAGTGTGAAGATTCGCTTGATACTTGTATTTTTTTTATTCAAGAGGACTAATTTATAAATCGTATTTCTATGATTCTAATTAAACACAATATAACTTACTATCTGATACTGATACATTCATGATAAGTTTACTAGTTAATTGTTTTTTTGTTGTTGGAAAAACACCCGAACTAGTGATAGGGAGTGAAGTAGTTGAGTGTGTCGACCGCTTCCCTTATCTTGGAAGTCTCATTAACCCTTGTGGTGTGGTGTGTGACGAAATCTCAGCACGGATACAGAAGGCTCGACTAGCTTTTGCCAACTTGCGTCATTTATGGCGTAGGCGAGATATCCGTCTATCAACCAAAGGACGTGTTTACTGCACAGCAGTTCGTTCCGTCCTACTTTATGGCAGTGAAACATGGCCGGTAAGAGTAGAGGATATCCGTAGGCTACTAGTATTTGATCATAGGTGTCTTCGAAACATTGCTCGTATATCATGGGACCATCGAGTAAGTAACACAGTTGTTAGGAAACGGGTACTAGGTAAGGATGGCAAATCAATTGATGAAGTAGTGAAACTTCATCAGTTGAGATGGTTGGGACACGTGTTACGTATGCCCAACGACCGACTGCCTCGACGTGCTATGTTCAGTGGTATAGGAGTAGGTTGGAAGAAAGCTAGGGGCGGCCA